CATCACCAGCTCCTGTCACATGGCACAGATCCCACAACCAGGCCAAGCACAAAGGGACAGCGGGCAGGTGAGTGACCGCGGCTCTGTCCTCAGACGCAGCCCAGCTCTGCCTAGGCCCCCGAGACGGCGTGGTCGGCGTCCTCTGTGTCTCCTTCAGCAAACATGTCAGGCCCGATCTTGGAAAATTTAGGTCACCTCTTTCATTTTTTTCTTTTCTAATTTTCTATTGTAAATAATACCTCCTTTCTGAGCTGACAAGAAATCCAGAGCTGCAGGAAAAGTAGAACAGTTCTGACTGTTTAAGCACCCAAAAGCCCTCTTATAAGGATGTCATAAATAAAGTTAAAAGACAAGCCGCCAACTTGGGAGAATATCTGTAAAATGGTAATAAGCAAAGGGCTACTGTCTCTTCTCTACAAAGAGCTAGCAAAAGTCAATAATAAAAAGATCTGCTAACAGAATAAAGGGCAAAGCAGACGAATTCACCGCAGAAACCTAAACGGTCAACAGCAGGAGGCATGTTGTATCTCATTAGTTGATACAGAAATTAAAATCAAAACAAGGTTTTCTTCCCTCATGAGGTTGGCAAAATAAGCAGAATTAAGTGTGACTTCTTTTGTGGACTTTGGATGAAGGGGGCCTGGTGTTTTACAACCGCGGGAGGTTATTTAATTGGTTCACCTGTTGTGGAAGGCAATTCAGCAACTCAAAAATTGAAGTGTGTTTTCACCCGGCCCTGAAAAGTGTAGAAAGTGCACTTACCTATGAACCTTACTTCCAAGATCAACTCTAAAGAATGACACAGGATGGGCACGCTCACAGTACTTGTAAAGCAGTGTCCTGCGGCACTGGGGGACTCACTGCTGGCCACCCAGAGCCTCAGGGGCGGGCCCCTCCGACCTGGATAGGACTTTGCATTCTCTGCTACTTGTTTAAAATATTTACAACTGGCAATAACTTCCCAGTCACTGAAGCCATAAAAAGAAACAGACTGAGTTCCTGTAAATCAAACACAACTAAAACAGGCCCAGGAGCAAGATTCTTGAACACCTCTCCCCTCCCTGTGCACACCCTTGCTCTAACTCTGGGTGTACCTTGCACTCCTGTTCAAATTCATTGCCTGCATACAGAGCCAGCCAAGTCCTCCAAGAGTTCCATAACAGCTGCCTTTCAGTAAAAAAGACTCCTGTCCCACCCAGTGTACACACCTCAGTCCCCCACCCCAGTGTCCCCAGCACAGGGGACGGGGCCCAGCACAGGAAAAAATGTACAGCAAGCAGGTGCATGGTGTGCTTGGCTCATCTGACAAGCGGGTGCTGTCTCCCCCGGCTTCTGGCCCTGGAGAGGTGGCAGAGGCAGGAGTGGCCCTAACACCTTAATTCACCTTGGTCTAGTTTTGGTGCTGACAGAGTGAGCCCTTTGCACTGGAAGCAGTGTGTGGGCTGAGGCTTGGGTGCCGCTCGGGGTTACAGAGCTTGCCCAGATCTATTAGGTCCTGGGTTTGATCTCCAGCACCACAAAAAACCCCAAAAAACAACTACCTACATGTGTCTGTGGTCCACACAGCACCTGGGACAGAAGCCCCCTGCCCGGGCTTTGAGGACTCTTTCTGGCCCGTTCCGCGCCGTAAGACCAGGCAGGCATTCAGGCTCAAGGCTTGCACCGCTGGAAACGTCTCTCCCTGTGACTTCCCTGTGACCATGTGAATTCTATCACCAAGTCTCCACACCAAGACCTGGCCTAGGAGGCATCGAGGAGGACCCTAGGTGCCCAGCCCACCTAGCAGGGGCAGGAGGGTCTCTAACCGTGGGCTGCAGTTCCAGGTAGGTGGGGTGAGGGCACCAGGAGCTGCTGCTGAGAACTTCATATATGGGCCACCCAAGATGCGGAAGGGCGGCTGCAAGCAGAAAGATGCTCTAGCAAAGAGGAGAAGAAAAAGTGGAGTTGTGTACCCCCGGGAAAGCAGCGGGAATGAAGAACCCCAACAACCTCCACACTGGATGTGGCTCTGGCCACTCCTCACCTCCCCAGGGTGTTAATTCTATGGGTCACACGGACAGGGCCCCAGGCGCCCTGAGAGATGGAGGCACACCCCTCTGGGTGGGTATAATAGTTGTATTTGGTTATCCCACTGCTATGGCTGTCTGGAAGGCGGTGCTGGATGGGATGGACTTCAGTGGTGCCCCAAGAAAGGCCCAGGCCCTCCCAGGACAAGGTGAGTGGACCTCATTCCACCTATCCTAGTCACTTTCCTGTGCCCGACATCCAAGACTCACAAGAAGAGAGGTTTAATGTGGCTCACGGTTTCAGGGGATTCAGTCCAAGGTCCGGCGGCTCCGAGGGGGAGCATCACGGTGAAAGGGCCTGGCAAAGGAAAGCTGACCAGTCCACGGCCACCAGGAGGCAGAGGAGGGGAAGAATATGCCACAGAGGAAGGGGCACAACCTCCAACACCATCCAGATGTGTGCTTTACCGGTCCCCCGCACAGCAACCGGGCCACTGAAGTTGACGCTGTCACGCTTAGCCCTCACACCATCCACCGAGCACCTCCCTAGGACATGGAGGCAAAGCAGGGATTTGGTGTTCTGGCTGGGACATCGGTCCTCTGCCCTTGGACCGGGATCCACACCATCAGTGTCCCAGACATGGATAATAATGTGGCACCGGCTCTCCTGAGCCTCCAGCTGGCAGATGGCAGATCAAGGGACTTCTCAGCTCCAAGACCAAGTGACCGGAAGCCTCTGAACCTACATAGGATGGTCCTGGATTGAAACGGTGTCTCAGTTTAATGGTTTCTAACTTTACCACGGTGCAAAAGCCATGTACATCAATAAAAATGTCTCTCACATCCTGAATGTGGATCTTTCCTCTGGCTGGCAATTGGCAGCACGAGCCTCTCTTGGGAGGAGGGTGCGTCCCCCGGCCAACAGTCCAGATGGCCCTGGAGAGTCTGTACTTCTGTGACTGTCCAGCAGGTGGAGAGCAGGACGGCCAGGGTGGGGTTGCACTGGCTAGCCTGGCTGGGCAGGCCCAGGGCTGGGAGACCCTGTGTGCACCAGGCACTGAAGTGAGCCAGCCCAGACAGTCCACAGATGGCCACGGCTCGGGGAGCCACTTAGCACACTCTCCGGCTGTCACATAGGCCAGAAGCAACCAGCTCTGGAGCAGCCTTTCCCAGGCATCCAGGCTTCCCACTGAAGGGGGGTCCGGGTGCCCCAAACCTCTGCTTCTCCCTTGCTGCTTTCCCACACTTCCTGGAGCAGTGAAGGAAGATCAGGGACGGCACAGTGCCCACCACAGCAGACAACCACAGAGGGCAGAAATAAAATTGCTATTGCAGCTCCGGGTGCGGGAAGGAACCCCAGTGAGGGGAACTGGCTCTTCCCCAGCCCAATTAAGTGAGGGTGCTCAGCTCCACCCACTGACCGCTGATGACTGACAGCCGGGTGGGGCGGCTAGCGTAGGGCTTCTGCAGAGGGTTCCTGGACATGCGTGGCCGGGGCACAGAGGAGGGTGTTCTAAAGTGGGGAGGGTGGAGAAGAGGAAGGGCTGTGGGAGGGAGAGAGAGATGAGGAGGAGGAAGGGGTTCCAGAGAGAGAGAGAAAGAGGAGAGGGGAGGAGGAAAGGGAGCCCGAGAGAAGATGGAAGAGTGTGTGTGGGAGGAGGCTAGGGCTGAGGAAGAGGTCCAGAGGTGGGCGGAGGAGAGGGGAGGGAAGAGGAGGAAGGGGAGGAGGAGGGCGGGGCCTGCGCGGGAGAATGAGGAGAGGAGGCCCGCGCTGGTTGGCCGCTGCCCCGC